GGACTTTTCGCGATCTGGCCAGTCAACAAGGGAACTCGACGAGTTGAGTCAACTCGAAATGTTGACCTTGACTTTGAATTTGACTAATGTTGACTCTTAGGGTTTGAAACATCGAGTTGAATCTAAGGAGATATTTTTTTAGGGATTGACTAGAGTAGATATCCAGAGCCAGAAAATCTTCTTCAAAGGAAACTTTTTCAAGGTATAAAGTTGTCACCTTGTCATGTATTCATCTAAATCTTCTCATTTGAAGTTTAAGCATGATTTTGGGGTTTTTGGTTGAGTTTTCTAAAAGAGATATGACCCCTTCATGACCTATTAAAGCTTAAAGTTGCAAAATTTATTGGTCCATATGTCCCATACATGCAATATGTCCATTATGAAGTCATAAATGAGCCTTAGAGTGTATTTCTCGCATGCGTGGATGTAAAGTTGGAAACTTTACGTGTTTTGCTTAACTTGAGACATCAGATCTGTGTTTTGGAACACTAGAGTGAGAGTTTAAGGGCTTAATGGGTCAAGACCCTCTTAAAGAACCTAGGGTTTGAGTTTGAAGCATTATGGATGGTCCTTGAGGGTAAAGTTGGAAACTTAACCCTTCTATACATCATTTTGAAAGGGATTTGAGCTTTAGAGACTTTGGATTCAAAGGAAGTGGCTTAATGAATTAAGAAGTGGGTTTTCTGGCCAGCTCGATGAGTTCATGAATGAACTTGACGAGTTGGTTGGACTTTCCGCGATCTGACCAATCAACAAGGGAACTCGACGAGTTTATAGCCAAACTCTACGAGTTGAGTCAACTCGGAATGTTGACCTTGACTTTCAATTTGACTAATGTTAACTCTTAGGGTTTGAAACATTGAGTTGAATCTAAGGAGTTGTTTGTGTTTAGAGATTGACTAGAGTAGATACCTAGAGCCAGAAAATCTTTTTCAAAGGTAGCATTTTGAGGTATAAAGTTGTCACCATGTCATGTATTCATCTAAATCTCCTTATTTGAAGTTTAAGCATGATTTTGGGTTTTTTTTTCGTTGAGTTTTCCGAAAGAGTTATGACCCCTTCATGACATCTTGAAGCTTAAAGTTGCAAATTTTATTGGTTCATATGTCCCATACATGAAATATGTCCATTATGAAGTCACAAATGAGCCGTGGAGTGTATTTCTAGCATGCATGGACGTAAAGTTGGAAACTTTACGTGTTTTGCTACCTTGGGACATCAGATCTATGTTTTGGAACATTTGAGTGAGAGTTTAAGGGCCTAATGGGTCAAGACCCTCTTAAAAGAACCTAGGGTTTGAGTTTGAAGCTTTATGGATGGTCCTTGAGGGTAAAGTTGGAAACTTAACCCTTATAGACATCATTTTGAAAGGGAACTGAGGTTTAGAGTCTTTGGATTCAAAGGAAATGACTTGATGCATTAAGAAGTGGGTTTCATGAATGAACATGACGAGTTGGTGGGACTTTTTGTGATCCGACCAGTCAACAAGGGAACTTGACGAGTTGATAGCCAAACTCTACGAGTTGAGTCAACTCGGAATGTTGACCTTGACTTTGAATTTGACTAATGTTGACTCTTAGCGTTTGAAAAATTGAGTTGAATCTAAGGAGTTGTTTGTGTTTAGGGATTGAGTAGAGTAGATACTCGAAGCAAAGGACTATTCAGCTACTCTCAGTATTTGAGGTGAGTCTTCTCACCACACTCATTAGTCGAAGTCACCAAGGCCGACCCATTAGTTGATATGATATGTTTGTATTGAATGGGAAGTGATATGTTAATTGATCTATGTATGGGTTTATGTGAAGACGGTGGCACTTGTCAATACCATGGGGGGAGCCCATCTCAAAACGATATAAGATTATGGGGGTAGCTAATGGCATTCCATTGAAGACCAGGGAGGAAGTCCATGGCTATTTGTATGTATGTATGTATGTGTATATATATATATATATATATATATATATATATATATATATATATATGAGCATGACATTATGTGATTATATGATTTACGTGATCGATAAACTCACTAAGCTTGTGCTTACAGTTTTTCAGTATGTTTTACGTAATTTTATTTATAAGGGCATGGAACCAACTGGATGACGGGGCATGCATTCTCTAGTGTTTTCACATTTATTTCATTATACTCTGAATTTTCAAAATAACATGGATATGTATTGGGATTTTTATATTTACTATGGTTGATGTTATGGAAATAAAAGTTTAAAAATTTATAAAAATTGGGCTGTTACAAGGCCTAATAAGGCAAGGAGTAGGGAATCTTTTGCCTTAAGACATGAAGTAGGGTTTGGAGCTTGGAGTCATAATCTAATAGTTAATTAGAAATTTATGTTGTGAAATAGGGAGAGGCTTTCACTAGTCATTCGTTGAGTACGATTCGACACCTATAGTCTGAGGTGAGTCTCCTTTCGTAGAATTCGTGGGTCGAAGGCACCAAGGTCGAGCCACTAGTTATGATATGGCTTGATGATTATCTTTGTGATGATTATCGGTTGCGCATGTATTATTTGATGATTCTGTGAGTTAGGTTTGATATTATATAGTAGTGGTAGGGGTGAAATAGACTCGGTATCCGGTTGAAATAGACCGAAGGGGTATGTCGATCACCCATATATGCTCGGTAGTTTCCTATTGAAATAGACCGAATGGGCAGGTCGAGCACACAGATATGCTCCATAGTATCCGGTTGAAATAGAACGAAGGGGTAGGCCAACACCCGGATATGCTTGGTAGTATGTTTATTTTTGTATGTGGTATGGTGGCGGAACTCATTAAGCTTTGTGTTTACAGTTTCAGTTTGTGTTTTAGGTACTTCTAACTCGAAAGGGAAAAGGGTTGGCATGATTGCATCACATCACATTATGATTTTCCATTGTAGAGATTTTAGGACTTATGCTCTGATAATACTTTTCTATGTTTTGTTTTGTTAAAGTACTATGATCATCGTATGTTCACATTGCTTTTGAAATTAATGATGTTTTGGGATATAGATTTAATAACTTTGAAAATGAAATTTTATGTTTGTATTTTTGGATGTTACAAAGAAGAAACGAAATCAGGTTGAAAAGAAGCCTGGGAAGACCTGATGATAAGTAAAAGCTTCGTTGGCTTTGAGAGACTGCATGTCTTTATCATCAAAGGAACAAATCTCATCATAGGTTAGGATCCCCTGATCAATGAAGTCATTCTCAGAAGGGATGATAATGTTGGCACGGGAACGAGTTGTCTTTTTACCCATGATCAGAAAAAGAGGAAAAAGAAAGGAAAAGAAGAAAAGGAAATTACATGTGAAGGTGACCGGAGATAATCAAGAGAAATATTGGAAAAGGTAAAATAAATCAGTCGACTACCCCTATTTAACCTAAACGATAGAAGATAGAGAGTGTGATTTGACTGTGTAATGATGCGCATGGAACGGATAAATCCTATCCGATTACGATTTGAAATTCAAATTTCTTATCTCTTTTATTTTTAAAAAATTATAACTTCAATATTGGAAATTAACCTGAAAAATTTTGCAAGTATAATTTGGGGACGATTGTTAGGGGCGGGATCCTAAATCATATTCAAGATCCTTAATGTTTCTAAAGCCTCGGGATCCTTAAGCATATCACATGATCCTGATTATTATCACTAATATTTCCTAACACTTGTAATGGTTATATTCTTTTTTTCTCACATAAGCAAAATTAGTCAACATAAGACTCAATCTCAACGAAGAATCACTTTAACCAAGCTTAAAACCTAGGAACACTAAGTCAAACACGTGCAAATACTTGTTCAAAGGGAATCCCGGATATATAGGATTTCTTGTTATTTAGCTTAGACTATAAATAACACATGTAAATTGCACACTACACACATATAAAAGTTGTAGTAATTCACTTGTACTCGTATTATCTTCCTTATTACCGTAAACCAACTTTGAAATTAATAAACACGGCAAGGCAGATGATCATTAGTAGGTTCCAAGGTTTTTTGTCGTAGATCGTAGTAATGATCAAGAGCTTTCCTTGTAAACCCGCTTATGTCATCTATACTTCATAGCATATTCATTTTGATTACAACAACCACAACCTCTCATACAATTTATAGAATTTGGTTGATTCCTAGTTCATTATTTTTCAACCAAAACAACACACACACACACACACACACACACACACACACATATATATATATATATATATATATATATATATATATATATATATATAAAAGTTCAATAGAGAACTATAATTATTGGTTCTTTAAGGAACAAAATATTTTTTTCTTCAATTTCTAAACCTTATTCTTGATCGAAAAAAAAAATCTAAAAATATATAAATTCATATATAATCATTGTGAATATGAAAAATATTTTTCGGATTTACCGTGTGAATATTCAAAAATTCACATTGTGAATTTGACATAAAATAAATCGAATTTGATATCATTGAAAAAATGATAAAAATTTATGAATTTCTGTATTTTTTTTTTTTGATAAAAAATAAATTATAAAAGTTGAAAAAAAGATTGCTTCTTTGGTTTTTTGTTTAATTATGGAATTTATGGTTCTCTAATGAACCTGGCAATATATATATATATATATATATATATATATATATATATATATATATATATATATATATATATATATATATAAAAGCGACTAAAGCTAAATATCATTCAAATTCTAACAGTAATTTAGTAAGAAAATATAAGAAAACTTAACACGTAAACTATAATGACAATAAATAGTGGGACATGCAGACTTAAAAACAATTGTTTGAGTTCGTGGCCAATATCTTTATTAAGTGGTCCAAACGAAATTGCTCACCAATCTAACAGAATCTTTTTATGTAACACAATGATACACCGAAAAAATCTATCTTTGTATAGATGAATTTGACAATTGAAAAGGACATTAGGAATCATAGTGAAGCAACATAAATTTCATAAAAACACGCATGTTTCTGTTATTCTATTTGTAAATACACGTTTATACCCCAATAATTTGAGACATTTTGATTGGTATTTCCGAAACTTTTGGGATGTGTGGTTATAGAGTGAGAGAAAAGAGTTATGTCATCAAGCATTTTGAATCGAGTATAAAGAGGGGAGAGATGGTAAGTAGGGGTTCTCATACCAAACCTCAAAACCATTGACCAATGGATGTTGAGAAAGTTTTCCACATGAATGGTGGACTTGGTGATAATAGCTATGCACAAAATTCATCTCTTCAGGTAACACATGTACACTCAGCCTTACATTTTATGTATTTTTTAACAGTTATATGTTATTGATTTTATTTACTTGGTTAATGTGACAAAAAAGGCTAATTAAGAGGACATGCCTAAAGTATTATGACAAGTATCTAATTATTACTATTATTAATTTTCAAATATTTAATAAACTAAACAAAAATGTAAATAAATTACTATTGGTATTACTATGATATTTTTGTTATTTGTTTCTTATTTGTAGCCATATATTTTTTTATTGCTGGTATTATTGTTTTTATTATCCTTATTTTATCTTAATTATATATTGTTACTAGTTTTAATTATTTAAAAGTTTTATTGAAAATATGTCAAAAAAAGATCTCCTAAGTGTACGACCTCGTGACAATTACTATGTAGGTTAAAATTATCAATTAGCATTTTTATTATAAGCATTTTACTAACAAACATACTACAGTTAATACATTTTGGAATTCAAAATAGCTTTTTAGGGAACTTTTATACGACTTTAAGAGACTTATCTTTGTCATAAAAAGAGGATTTAGAAGAAATAATCGGAAAGGAGAACTTTATGATAAAAGTTCCAGTGACATGGTTAAAATGTCAATATTTACTCTTCATTAATGGGTTTGTTTGGCAACCGTAGATTTTGATAGTTGTTATTTTTATCTTTTAAAAGAAGTTTTGTTCAGAATTACGTACTTAAAACTATTTATTTTAAGCAAAGATTTCATAATTCATACTATTTAAATAGTTTTTGTAAGGTTTAATTTAGTTTTAAAAAAGTATTAACTTTTAATTTATATAATTTTATACTTAAAAGCTTCCAATTAGTTTATTCAACATTTCTATGTAAATAAAAACTACATTTTATAATTATTAAACACATTCAATAAAGTTACGATTTAGTCTAGACAACCTCCATATTTAAAGAAAACTTAATGAAATAACAAAAACAATAGAAAATTATAATCTTGTCGTATATTCAATAATTATGTTTTTTGTTGTAGAAAAAGGCTTCAGATATGGTAAAGCATATAACCCTCAAAACCTTAGAAGAAACCTACATCTCCACCACACCAAAAAGCCTCGGCATAGCCGATCTCGGCTGTTCTTCCGGCCAAAACACACTATCAACCATACAAGATATGGTGGAAGCCATCGACAAAGCCACCGGTAAACTGCCCAACACCCCACCACCGGAGTTCCGCATCCACCTCAACGATCTTCCAACCAACGACTTCAACGCCACATTCAAAATACTCCCTGATTTCCACCAAGCATTAAACCACCAAAGGCGTCACCGGAGCTCCAACCACGATTCAAGCGTATACATCGCCGGTTATCCGGGTACTTTCTACGGGAGACTGTTTCCCGACAAGTGTTTGCACTTCATTTACTCTTCTTACAGTTTGCACTGGCTCTCCAAGGTTATATACTTTACTTAGTTTCTATCTGTGTATGTCGTAATATTGACCTAATTACAACTATATCATCAACTTCAAATCGTAATCTAACATTTATATATTCAGGTTCCTCCGGGATTGTATGACAATAATGGAAAGTCGATTAACAAAGGTAGCTTATACATCTCGGAATCGAGCTCTCCACAAGTCTCTAAAGCGTATTTTGATCAATTTCAAGAAGATTTTTCAATGTTTTTAAGATCAAGGTCGAAAGAACTTTTAGCAGGAGGTCGTATGGTGTTGATTCTATTAGGAAGGAGAGATCGAAGCCATGTTGATAGGGGAAACTCATTTCTTTGGGAACTTCTTTCACGATCATTCGCCAACTTAGTTTCTCGGGTATATATACTTATAAGTTCATATAAAAGAAGATATTATGTTAAGAATTTCTTTTCATTATTAATCGTTCTATTATATATGGTGTTCATGTAGGGAGAAGTTAAGCAAGAAAAACTTGATGGGTATGATTCACACTTCTATGCACCATCAAGGGATGAATTAGAGGAGGAAGTAAGGAAAGATGGATGTTTTAAAATGGAACTTTTTGAAATGTTTGAAATCGAACGAAACTCAGGAGCTTATATGAGCCATGGAACTGCAGTGGCCAGGACTGTTAGGGCGATTCAAGAATCGATGATTTCCCATCATTTTGGAGAAGAGATTCTTGACTATTTGTTTGAGAATTATGGGAAATTGATTGATGAAGAAATGGGTATAGAAGATATTAAGCCCATAAGTTTCATTACTGTTCTTAGAAAATTATGATTTGGATATATAAACGTACGTCATGCCGTATAGGTATTGTTGTGTAAATACATCCATGAATTTTCCTTATTTTCTTTTTAAAACTTATATGTATGTAAGGAGTTATGTCTAATAAGGGTATTAATTATAAGGGTCGTATATGTAATATTTATAATATATGCACTCACATTATAAAATTAAAGAAATGATTTGTGTATACGAGTGACGCGTAACGTTTTAATTGCCATAAATATAATGCTGTTAAATTTATATTTAAAATTTATTTTAATGCTCTTAAATTTATATTTAAAATTTATTTTAGTTTTTTATTATAAACATTTTGTTAAAATACGTAATATGTAAATGTTTCAAACTTAACATTTTCCTTTATATTTTGTGTTGTTTGCATTTCTATATATTTCATTTTTTAGGATTTATTTTGTAATATAAATTGGATCCCTTTTGTGATGATGTATTGAGGAAGAGGTGAAAGTGAGTTGATTTGATAGTTTCGGGTTGCCACTTCTTTACTTGAAAGTTGGTGAAGGTGAACACGAGGATTGATCCTTTGGTATCCGGGGGTTAGTTCTACGACCTTCAATAACTTTTATATAATATAAATTGGATCTACTTTGTGACGATGTATTTGGTAAAGGGTGGAAGTGTTTTGATGTGATAGTTTTGGGTTGCGGCTTCTTTAGCTGAAAGTTGGTGACGGTAAACACGAAGATCGATCCTTTGGTATCTGTGGGTCACTTGAAATGATTGATTCTCATGATCACCTTCACCAACTTTGGTATTTATGGGTTAGTTTTGACCTAGCTATATATACAAGTGAAGAGGCTTGGGTCGTCACTAGGGGTGTGCACCAAACTGCACAAACCGCATAAACCGCCCACACCGCACCAAACCGCACCGCCTAATGCGGTTTAGAACTAGTGTGGTGTGGTTTGCGGTTTGAAATTTTGTTAAACCGCATTATGTGATGCGGTTTGTGGTTTCCAATTATAACAATGCGGTTCAAACCGCACCGCATATATATATATATATATATATATATATATATATATATATATATATATATATATATATATATAATACAAACATATAAAAATTACACAGAAGATACGAATTTGGTTTTATTACTAATGAATTTTGATATCACCAATTTCAATTTTTGTAAACAAATTTGTGATAGATTATTTATCTGATTGTCTAATGTAACAATGACTAGTATTGTTAAAACATTGGCAAAACCAACTTATCTTGATTCTATAACTAATATATTTATGTATAAATTTTATGTACATAATATTAAAAATACATATCCTTTTTCAAACCGCATAAACCGCAAAAAACCGCACAAACCGCCCGCACCAAACCGCACCACATAACGCGGTTTAGAACCTTCGCGGTGCGGTTTGCGGTTTTCTAAAATTTCAAACCGCACATGCGGTGTGGTTTGCGGTTTCGACTCAAAACCGCACCAAACCGCACCGCGAACACCCCTAGTCGTCACTCAGATTACTTTACACACACATACATTTTTTTCTCTCTCGTGTCTTTTAGTTATTATATAGTCTTCTAGGGTTTCCATTTTAGGGTTTTCGATATTTTTTTTATTATACATGTAATCTCGTGTTTTGAGTGATAAAGTAGATTAAGAGTAGATTTAGGTTGATTATAGTGAGGTTATTCTGTAAGTTGTATGAAAACGATTTAATTTTTTATATCGTATCAAAGCCTAAGGTTGCTCTAATCATCTTCATTTTGATGAATGACGGTGCGTCCAAAGCTTTTTCATACCCAAGATTAGGGTGTTTTTTCTTTTTTTTGAACTATTGTGAATCATTATAGATATGACACCGATTGTGCCAATCTAGGGTTTCCTTATCCATTCCTTGAAGATTTGACATTGATTGTGTCAATTTAAGGTTTCTGTATTTATCGATCTTTTTTAGATCTTGTTATTTTATTTTCAGCGTACATCTATGGTGGTGATATTTGTTTGATCCTGAAGGATCTGGTCTTCCTTGTGAATGTATGTGACTATTTAAATTGATCAAGTTTAACCTTGATTAGGGTTAATCAAAACCTTCTCGAGCCTATCTTAACCTCAATTTTATGGCTAAAATCCCTAATTGAGCTAATAACTTCAATAGCGTATAAAGGTCCCTTGTGAGCATTTCTTGTTCCTTTCTCTTATTATATATTAGTTCTGGGAGATCATGACTGTCTTGAGTGCTTAAGTTATTTTTTTATTATCTTCGTGTCTCTCTTTATCGATTGTCTTGAGTGCATAAGTTAATTTTTTGTTATCTTCGGTCTTTGTTTGTCTGCTTTTTTTGTTACTGTCAAATTGCTTTTTCAACACTATGGTTGATTGGTCTTGGGCATCCAATAAATTATGGTGACCATGAAGACTAATTAGTCTTCATAATTTTTTATTTTTTATTATTAGTTATAGCTAGTCCAACTCACGATTCTAGTTAAGTGTTGTAATTCTAAACTTATTTAACTTAGTCGGTTAGGTTATCCAGCTGACCAAGCCTTTAATACATTAAAAGATAAACTCAAATTTGGAAATGAATCCCTTCCTCCTTATGATGTTTTTCACAAAGAAAAACAACCTAAAGAATCTTTTCCTTTTTGTAAATATGTGACATCAAAGTTAGGGAAACTTGTTCATCTAGATGTTTAGGGCCCTTTAGAAGAACATCATTAAAAGGTTGATGTTTTCACAAGGGCAACCTCAATGTATCTTTTAAAATAAAAAGAGGAAATGTTTGATTGTTTTTCTTCATTATAAAAAATTTTGGTTAATCAAATTGCAACTACTATTAAAATAGTTCGTTCAGATAATGAGAAATAATTTATAAATAATCATATGGAACTTTTTTTTATGAAAACATAGACATATTTTTAATGTTGGTAGATCTTTATTTTTTCAATCATGTCATCCTGTTAAGTATTGGGGATATGGAATCCTTACATGAGTTTTATTAATTAATAGAATGTCAACTTCTATTTTAAAATGGTTGTATATGAATTTGTTTTTAATAAAGTTCTAAGTTTTGAAAATGTTAGTGTTTTTAGTTGCTTATGTTTTTGCAACAAAATTTAATGTTTCTGGCAAATTTTCTAAACGTGCTGAAAATGTTGTCTTTCTTTGATATTCAACTGAGAAAAAAGATTATAAATTGTTAAGTCTTACTACTAATTATGTTTTTGTTTCCAAGGATGTTAAATTTTACAAAATTTTCTTTCCCTTTAAGTTAAATTCATCAGTTGTTAACAAGTTTTTAATAGTGCTAGTCCATGGGATCCATTTTCCTATGATGAACTCCTGTTTGAATATACAAATGATTATGTAGGCTTTGATGACTTGAGAATTCTCCACTAGTCATATGGTGCTAATGCACTAGATAAGTCTGATACTAGTCAAGTCAACAATCACGATGGTGAGGTACGTACGCCTACAACTGGTAGTTCTAAACATATTTCGTCTCGTCAATCTGAGGAAGATAATCAATCTAATACTCTTCTTTTTTATGATTACTTGATAGGTTCCTTTAGATCTATACGTTAAACGCGTATGACAACTAAATTCATTTATTATGTTGTTAAAAGGAAACATAAATACGTTATTGAGAAAACACTTATCTATTTCTTTTTAAGTAATGAGAATTTGTGTTCAACCTAAATAAAACAATTGAACCTATGAATTATGATGAAGAATCTTCTCCTCTTAACTAGAGGCGAGTTTAGTGTTAGTCAAGGTGGTTCCTTTGATCCACCTAATTTTTTAAATTGTATAAAAATATATATAACAAAAAAAAAATTATAACCTACCTTAAATTTTTTAAGTGAATTACCTTATATCATTTGAAAAAAAAAAAAAAAAACAAAAAGTTTATTTCAAAATTATAAAACTTTATATATCAATACCTAATCTATTTGAAATAACCCAATAAATAATGGCCCGCTAGACTTGCTAATCAAACAAAAAAAGGAAGAAAAATAAAAATTAAGAAAATTTGAAATGGTTGTGCATAAGTGATCACTTTGAATGTGATCGACGACGTCAACGCTCTTGGCTCACTCAAATAAACGTCGCCCTTAACACCGAGTGTGGAACACTATTAGTAATGATATAATTATGGAAATATTTCAAGATATAAAACCTTATTGGGTACAATTGTAAAAACATTAAATTATTTTTTCCTTATACGCCCGACCAACTACTAGTTTTTTTACTCTTTCATTTATATTTGTTTTACTCTTTCATTTAACATACTAGGCAACGACAAATTAGACATAAGCTAAACCAAGTCATAAAAATCCATGCAGGGCAAGAAACTAAGACATAGTATTTGAATACAACTACATTAAACGAAAGCCTAATGATTTAGCCACTCATTGTAGAAAATAAACACATAAGAAAGTAGATTAGAAATGATCAATCTAATGCAAACCAAATGTGTGATGTGAATTCTTGCCACCATCTTCAATTCTCGAAATCTCCAATCGTCTTCTCCTTCCAAGGGTTGTTTTTTGCAGTTTTATGTCCCAAAAATCGACTTACACCTCCAAAGTAACTCCCTAATACTCCTCAAGTCGATGTAACAAATGATATAAATAGTTTCCATAAAATGCTTCTCACGTCTTGAACAATCACAACATGAATTCATTAGTCATCCATATTCAACAAGGAAACTTGCTTCTCCGCATAGTAATCTTCTGGAATACGTTTATCATGACATGAAGAGTAATAGCTCACGTCGCGAGCTTCTATTTTGCATATACCATCAAGATCTTTCTTCATGTCAAGTCGTGGTATTCTTGAGACCACGTCTTGGTAAGTGTATTTGCAAGATCTTCTCGTATTATAACTGTTGGGTTTTGAGCATTCTAACACTTCCTAAGTGTACATGCAACCCTAATAAACCATGGATCTATGTTTGTCTAAGATACATGCATATAATTCATTTTTCCAAGGTTTATATCCTAGCTAGCATGGCATGGGGAACATGAATCAAATAAAGCTAGGAGAAATACTTACCTTGAAGTTGTAGTTGATTGCTTGGAGTTTTTGAGCCTAGCACCAATAGTGTGGATGCCTCAAGTGGAAATCACAAATCACCACAAACTTAGAACTTTGAGAGAATTGTCACTACTATCTTGAAATTTTCCCTCACCTCAACAAGTGTCAACTAGTCTAATTTCAAGAACCAAAGCCTCCTTTATATAGTGTGATGG